AGTATGTGAACTGACTTTGTTTGTCATTTTACAAAGAAATCATGGTTTTCATTTAATCTAATTCACTCTTGTTGGTCCCAGGTGACTCCCAATATAAATATCTGTCAGTTCTGAAATTCCAGATCAAGCACTACATCATTTAGAGCAATGTAACCTCTTGGGTTTTGAATCACAGCACACAGACAATAACCAGTTCTGAGTTATTAAAGAACAGAAGTCATCCCTACAGACTCTGTTTACTATTCTCATTTAATCATAGGCTGTACAGTGGATAGGTTATGGAGCCAACATGTTGGGAGATCCCTGCAGATGACCTAAAATAGTCATGTGTTCCAGACCTGAGTAAATGGCTGTCTTAGATCCATCAGTTGCTGTCTACCAGGTTTATGTTAGGGAGCACTACGTCTCAGAGCAGGCAGAATGGCGGTATGTGAGTAAAAGTAAACAACAGGTATCCTTTTAACACTATGACCAAGTCCCTGCTGTATTCCACTGTGTATCTTTTCGTCAGCCTTTTCAGAGCATTTAATTGCCAGCTCTGTGCATGTGTGTTTACACAAAGGCCATCCCCTACATCTACACACTTTTACACAGGCAGCATCTCTTGGTAAGGTTTGGGTAATGTTTCCTCTGCAGCTATCTTCTCTCTGCCATACCATCTTTGGGTCTGGTCTATGTGGAACTTCCTGACAAAGTGGACTGAAGCCAAACATTAACTACAGTCATTCAATCTATGAACAATGCTGGTTTCCACTGTTTTATCAGCAACATTTCTTGGCTTGACATGGCCACTGAAACATTTCTAAACCCCTTCCTACACTATACTGAACTGCCAGCATTAATCATTCTCAATTACAAACACAAAAAAATTACTTCTGTAAACCATAAAAAATGTGAGGATCAGGTGTGCTTGGAATGCAGCCAAAGGGGACATGGGGGTGAAAACCTCTCTCACATTGTCCAAAGTTTACAACTAGAATTTTTTGTTCGACCTGACAGAGACAAACCGTGTTAAATTAAGATGCTGCTGTCTATAAAAAATTGAAAGTTTCAGTAGCACGCTTTGTGTAAATGGCCCAGCCCAAAACCCAAAAAGCCTTTCCTGATGTGCATTTTTTTTTCAAAACCTCATTTCCTTTTCCATCACTTTTCTCTAGAAGTGGAGAAAACTGGCTTAGGGCAGTTTCCCTCTATGCTGTAAAAGACCATGATACCCTCTCAACCTGTTTTATAATTTTAGCCTTCCCAGAATGGGGTTTCAAACAGAATACATTGGCCAGATATTTATGCCCGTTTTTCTTAATACATAAAGACTACAGCATTGTTTAGTCTAGTAATATAACAGTTAAAGCAGTCCCCTAAAAGGCAAATGAAGAAACTGATAAACACTGAAATTTCGAGGAGTATTATTAACAAGCTATAACTGGCCACATAGCTCTCTAGTGTGACAACTCTCAGTTTCACTGAGGCTGTTCTTAGCACAAGCCATGACTCCATTTCTGCACAGTATCACTTCTGAGTGTACAGTAACCGGCATGTTTTCCACAATGAAAAATATATACCAATATGGATTTAAAGGGCAATATCAGCCAAGTACATATGCTTTTCTGTCATGATTTATTTAACATAATGTAGATTAGTGTTGAAACAACTAAAGTAAAAAGTTGACCCAGTCAAAGTGTCATTTGGTTTAGCCACAAGTTAACATGGCTTCATTTTTGAGAACTTGAGTGGGAAACAAAGCCTTAACTAAATGGCTTCTAGGCTGTAGGGATAAGGCATGGCACAAAACAACCCTTCCAGCAGGCAGATACAAAGACATTTAGGTGCTGGAGTTGTACAATGTGTCATGACACACAAAAAAGAAAAAGACCTGCCAGCGGTCTGCGGAGTTTAGGCAAATGATTTGAAAGGAAGTCTATTTGATACCAACAAATGGAACAAACAAAGAGAGCTTGAGAAATAGATATAGGTTGCAACAAATAGAGGTTGACTGAAAACCCTAAAATATTTTCAGTTTTCCATTTCAACCATCATGAGGCTTCTTTGGCCAAATGGAAATTTAGCAGAAAGAGGTTATGAATGCAGGACCTTTGTGGAAACTTGATTATAGCTATAACAGAGTGGTTTACTAATACGAAGTTCAGGACAATAAGACGATGAACGCAACCAGACCCTGTCTCTGCTTTACATCAGTCATCTACTGAGGTTTTGATAGTTCCTTACAAATGCCAAAGTTAATCAGACAAACATCCTCTTGGTCCTTCGGGCTGAGGGAAGAGAGAGGCTGAGTAGTAGATGGGCCCTCCCACTTAAACACATGGCTACAGTTTCCCCTCTCCACTATGTGGCCTGGCCTTGCATGAGACCAAAACACTAAAACAACCAAATATGGTGTTCATTAAGACGACTCAGTGTATTGTGCTGGCCACCTCCAACCATCACACACTCTGCCACCATGTGCTGCTGAGAGGACCAGCCTCAGGGTGAAATAAGTTTTGTACTACCTGAAGAATAAAAAAGGCCAAGCTCTTCGTTCAAGTCTGATTCATCACCAGTAACCAAAAAAATGTCAGCATGAGGCTACTACAACAGCCCTTCAGAGGTTTTAACTGTGTAACCCAGAATGCAGAGTGAATGTGGACCAAAACATCCAAATGGGAATCACTGCATATTTCAAGGTCTGGTCTGTGAACCAGGAGGAAAAAAAGCACATCCACTATGTCCATATTTGGTCTGGCAAACTTTGCCAATCCTTCCACTAGAACATATTTCTCCAAACATCCACTGACCCATCTGACTGAACTATGAAGGATAATACTGCCATCTGCTGGAAAGAATGCAGACTGACTTTTTTCTCCTTTATCTCTCTTGTCAACTACATGCATTGATATGAAAAAGGACAAAATAATCTCAGTGGTACTGGTTGTTTGAAACTCTTTATTTTTGGTGAATACAAAAAATACTTTTGTGACCAGATAAATATTATACATACAGCATCAAATCATAAAACTAATGCAGTCTGTTAAAGAAAGCACAACACCTATTCATAACAGAGCTAGTAACTTTTTCTATTTCCGTTAATACTCGCACAAATCAGTTAGACAATATATTTTAGGTAAATTATTACATTTACTGATAAAAACTTATAGTGGTTAGACAATGAAACGAGGGAGTTATTTAGTCCAACTTTTAAGAGGGACTTGGCATAATGATTTCGACAATTTCTCAACTTCAAACACAAATTGCCACATGCTCATGGAATGCAGTCTAGTGTAGGTTTTCCAATATGGTCTCTAAATCCTAAGGTATCCACAGATGCCCTTTTATATCAGCATTATAACATTGTAGGCAAGTGGGCCACCAGCCAAGGCATTGTATTGTATGGCAAAGGACTAGGTGACAGTTTATTAAGACCCCGATGGGGATTAGACTGGCATAATATTCTGATCCAGAGAGGACAAGGCTCAGGCTCCCACCCAGCCTGATCTCCAGCTGCTCGCAGGGCAGACTCAAGTAAGGCACTAATACACAATGCAGTCCTGACACTGGCATGGACAGACTGAGGAGATGAACTGCTTCAAATTTGCAATATATTATACATTAATATACTAAAACAAATCATTTAATTAGTTTCCTTAATCAGAGATTTCATCTATTTCCTTCTAGTTTGTTCATTTAATATAAAGCTTTAAATTGCCTTCCTCTTCAGTGCGTATGTGTATGAACAACCTCAGTGCCTAACATATGCTTGTTTCATTCAAAGCCAAATACCATTGCACACAATCAATTTCATTCTCTCAATTCATCTCATTACTATCTTCTTAGAATATTCAGTGTAATGTATTGCTATAGACAGTCAGTCTAAAATGAAAATGCCTTTACCATGACAGGGCAGTGACTGGTGGAGAATAACTATAGGTGTGTATGTGTGTGTGTACAGTACAGTGAGTACCCGAACAAAATCTGGCCAGTGTTAATGGGGAGAGGAATTACAACATGAAGACAAGAGAGAACAAACATGACAAATAATGTAAACATATATTTCCTTACACAGCCATGTGTATGCAAGGGAGGAACTGGTGGGGTTACGTGAAGTGACATGATGTACAAGCAGCATGACATATTTGGTCACATACAGTCCAGATTATCTGAATAACATAGGTTACGCCTGTTTGCTCTTTAAGAACAACTAGTTTCTGTAAAAAAAAATCAGTCAAGAATAAATGTCTTTATAGCTAGTGTTGGCCTGTGGTGTGTTTACATTTACTCCAATCAGAACCCCTCACTGTTTGGTGTCAAGCTATACAACATAGTTGAATCAAAATCCTTTATTTTTTAAAGATTTGCTAGTTTAAAAGCAAACCCCAGTTCACATTTTTATTAGTAAAATACAAGTGCCCTTCCACACTATATTACTCTATTGGTTAGTAGCTCCATTGATATGTAAGAACATTATGGTTCATGCAAGCCAGTGGTGAAATAAGCCTTCCCCTCCCTCCCCCCCAAACTACGGACCCTAAGATTTGTTCTGCCAGTTGCAGAAATACCATCAGTTCATTTCAATTTGCTCTAAACCTTCAGTAACTATAGAACATTCAATGATAATAGAGGATTTCTTCATTTGTGACTTCGATTCATGATTGTAACAGTCAGTTATGCTCATGATGCAGTAACACTCACAAAGCGTACGATACGTTTATCACACAACTTTATCATACTGTCTCAACTTGTTTATATTGACAACTGTAACAACCTTCTCCATAATGAACTCTGAATGTCAATGCCATTCACCGACAAACACATACACACGTCACACACACACATACACACCAATACACTACAGAGCACAGGCACTTGTTTTTCTCACTAAACAGGCCTGTTTCAAGTGCTGTATATTCCTCGGTTATATGAGAGTAAAGCAGCCAATCGTACATCAGCAACATCTCCTCATGACGTGAGGGTTTCATCAGCGTGCTGCACATCCACATCTGCTTAGCCAATCAGCCCTCGTCCTCCCTCAGCTCACTGGGCAGGAACTTGTACTGCTGCTGTCGGATCTGAGCCAGCTTCTTCCGCGCTTCCTCCAGCTCTCGCTCCTTCCTCAGCATCTCCTCCTGAGCCGCAATGATCTGAGGAGAACGGGAACAGCTGACAGAAAATGTGCCTTCTACTCATCATAATCCTATTCCTGTGGATAACTTGATATGATAAAAACCCAATAGCTGCACAGTACCCAGCTCACACTATACAGCCTGTTAACTCCAAGCACAACACATTGGAGAAGATACAGGAAATGGCATCTTATAGTCACAAATGATGGTATATGGTATATTAAAATGAATCAAATTTCCTAAAACAAATGTCTACATAGTTACATATATGGAGAAGTAAGTAACTGGAGAATAGTAAGTAGAAAGAAGCATTTAAACATTACATAAAAATGTAGGTAATAGGTCATTTTATGACAATATTTGGAATGCATGTTCTATTGTTGTATTCGCAGTCAGTGACTAGTGGTTTAGATTTAGATGAATTGTTTTCTGATAAAAATGGAGTAGCAAGGATAGTTAGCATTAAGCTATAACATTTTTGAAATAATGATAATAATATTGTTATTATTTGGAGCAATCACAATCTAAAGTGGTTAGAGAAACAATGTCATCCAAAGATCTCCTCAGTGCGACACTGATCAGATATCAATGAGACAGTGAGCCTCACTGGTCAGATAGAAAAACTGACAAGCTGATGCCCAGCTGGGGTGCACCACTGACTGAGACAGGAACTCAGTCAATCAAGATGAAAAGTGAAGCTTCCTGTAGCACCCTGGAGTTTTGAAAAAGAGACACTCAGTCTTCAATTACTGTCAATTTTTTTTGCAAAGATGAGAAGGAAGAAAATTCTCAACTCTTCAAGAGATGTGATGTTTTGCAGCTGTGGGTGTCTGGTAACCCTGGTAAACAGCTTTGAAATTGAGCTGATGGGCTGTTTATCCACAGCAGCTCATCACAATTTCACAATAACAACATTTGGCATTTTGGCATATCAGCGAGAGGTGCAAACATTCAGTGAAAAGGGCAAACCACACAATGGGAGTTATGTCTGTTCCATGTCTCACAAGGACATTTTTTCAGGATTTTGTCTCACCTGAGCTATGCCTCCAACGAATTTGGTCTTTACCACAACACTGTCATCTTCAGTCTTGTCAAATGCTGCTTTCTGAGCCGCCTTCACCAGGTTGTCTGAAGCTCGCTTCACTGCATTTCCAGCAGCCTTCAAACAGATCATCTCAAAGTTAGCATGTACACAATCCACATGGTACACATGGGTTCAGTGGATACATTCAAAATGAGTTGTCACCTGGAGTCTCCTCATGGCTTCAGAATCCTGGTCAGCCTTCACCTTGCAGGCTACCAGCAGTTGAGCCGTGGACGCCGCAACCTGTTTGGCTGAAGAGATGAGCTTCTCCTCACTGGCGTGGCCCTGCACTGAGGCATTAGCTGCCTCACACAGGCTACTGGTGGCTGCTGCTACCATACGTGCCTACAGCAAGCAACAAATTAACACATGCTGTTGGGTTGGGTTGGGTTTACATTAAAAAAACCTTATACATTTATTTGTAGTTAGAAATGTTAAAAGACAACACTTTAAGCAACTTACAGCTGATATGAGACCCTGGGACCACTGGCCGTCATCTACCGCATTGGCTAGATTGGATCCAACCTGAGGTAGACGTTGGGTAAAAAACAAAACGTATATGTTGTTATACATTAGTAGTAATGTATAGAATTTGCTGAGTGTGAGTAGGTGCGTTGACATACCTTGCCTTGTGCCACCAGCTCTCTCTGAGCGGCTGATGCAGATTTAACAAGAGCACTAGTTGCTGCAGCGATGGACTTTGCTGCTTCTAATATCTGCTCCTCAAAGTCCAGGGTCTCATCTGCCTGCTGAGAGTGAAATCACATATTAATTTACATATACAACTATAGCATGCTACAGTAAAAAAAAAAGATAATTGTTACACTGTCATCAGGTCAACCAAGGCTGTAACCAGAATCACGATCACCAAAATAGATTCAAATTTGATCAATTCTATGGATTTAAAAAAAACTTCTCTTGGTGATATGTTAAAACATTGTTTTATCATTTACATGTAGATAATACTATAAACACAAAAGAATACTTGAGTCAGCCTATAAAATAGTTTCAGTATTCATTTTTAATTGTAATATGTCATTCCCTCCAGCTTCCTAAAACTTACAAATTCTTCCTTTAGCACAACCTCTAATGATCAACTTTATCTTTCACAAAAAGCACAATCGAAAATGATTATTTTTCAGTGGCAACAGAGTGGCAGCTAAATACGATGTCCCATTTCCCAAACCCGAACTAGATAACACCATGAAGATCACAGTGCATCGGTTCAGAAACAGCTAACAAATGGCTATTTCTGCCTCAGCAGTCAACAGCATGTGATTGACCTCCATAAACACATAAGGCACACGTGGCTGGAGACAGGGCGGGACACTGTAGGAATATGTTTGATATATAGTTGGACTGAATAACAACCTAATATATCAAACATATCAGACAGAGCCCTGCAGAGAAGGCTTCCAGGTTTACAACGGCTCAGAGAGGGTGGGGTGGGTGGGGGGCAGGGCAAGGAAGCATGCTGGGAGCAGAGGAGCTCTCCCTCATTATGGGGTGGGAGGGATGAAGAAGCAGATAGGAGAGGGAGAAAAGACGAGGAGAAGGAGAATCCAAGCTGTTTTAGATGAATAAAACCTTTTTAAATCTGGTGGGCTATTTCATAGTGTCTTAATTATATGTGGCATTTTGTTAGCTCTGTCTCGGTAAAAATATTTTTTATTATATTTTTAAAAAATCATATATGGTGCTCTACAATTATTTTAGACTGCTATCGTAGATTGCAATAAATAAATGAATTTTAGGACAGAAATAAATACTCGCTCGGAGCGATAATCATGTGTGCTTTATGGTCAGATCTCTGCCTTTGAATTTTATTTTGTCCTCCAAATCAGTATGTTAACAGATGGGCACATATTTCAGCTAGTTTCTGAATATAGGGAATAGTAAGGCATGGTCATAAATGAACAATTTAAATGTCCTCTTATGAGGAATAACCTTCCCCTTAGATCACTAGAGGGAGACAGAGGAAAAGCCTTTCTCTCACTAATCCCCTTTCATAAACATAAAGGTCCTCATAAATGCTGTCTGTAGCTGTGGAATTATAGTATAAGACAGAGCATTATGAGGTCTTTATTAAAACTGGGGTAACCTAAATATGCTGTCCTTTATATAATACAGGCAGAGGGTTGAAGTGACAATCACTTTGTGTACAGGAAGAGGTATAGAAAAGGGGGAAACCACTACAGGCACAGAAGGAAGAACACTAGGATCCAACTATCCAGTCTCCAGAGACAGAAAAACAAACAACACAATCATGCAGTAGCACACCACAAACACAATCTTGTATTGCATACAGAACAACAGAAAAGTAATTTCATTTTCCAAAATCACTATTACTACCATCTCCCATCTTTTGCCTATTTTCATTGTGTATGATGTGGTAAAGTTGTTTTATTTTTTAGGCAATACCACAGCGTGGCGGAGATGAATAACAGGCTGAAAAAGACTCAGTTTAGTTTAGAAAGGAGGAACACTGCAATAAAACAAAGGAAATAAGTTCAATAAGACAGAGGCCCTCTCTTTCGGAAAGGGTCAGAACAGTTCATCACACATTTGAACTCATTCCAACACAAGCTTGAGGACCCAGTGCTGCAATTGCGTCTCCTGGCAACACAAATCAAAATAGCGACCAAAAGTGCCTTTGAAGAAAGTTTTCTGAGCATCATATGTTAGCTCACTGGACCAGCTGTCTCATTTAACATGTTATGTGTAATGCAGAACATTTTTTTTTCTCCTCTAATGACATCAAGATAGCAACTCAATCGCTAAAAAAAAAAATGACTCCACTTCAAAGTCAGTGTCACCTTTTCCTACCTTTGGCCCACATCGTCTCCCTGCTGATTAATGGCAAAAAGCTGTGCGTGGGTTTGTGTGGGTGGAAAAGGTTGAGAGGGGCACTTATACCTTGGGCTTGGCTCTGGGTTTCAGCTGCTCTAGTTTCTTGGCTGCAGCTTCAATGGACGCTGCTGCTCCGAGGAGTTCGGTCTCGGCAATGACAGTGGGGTCCTCGGGGTCCACACACTCTGATCCTGAACAGGAACATCACATGCACAGACAGTGGTTATCCCATGCTTCTCTAGCACAGACTCATAAAAGAATAAGAAACAGTAGAATAATTCTGGTGATAACATTTTATTTTATGTAACAAAAAGGTCAACATTATGCTTAAACCATTTTTCATGCACTTATTCACACAATCCAGGCATTACAGAGGTGCTAAATCTCAACCTACTTTAACTGCAGCAAAACTCATGAACTCTATACAGTCTAAAGAATTGTTTGCAGTATGACAGTAATGCCTCAAAGTTAAATACGATAAACTAAAAGTTAGAAGAAATGCACATTTGATGGATTGTCTTTTGTCATTGTCTTTTTATAGGTTTTTAAGTGCCCATAAAACGGAGCTTTTTGGGAACAGCTTGGTAAGGCAGATGGAACGATGTTTTCATAGATTATGTTTAGCTCTGGGGAAATCTGCCCCCACCCCCACGCCGTCCAACTCCTCTACCCCATCCTGACTCTATGAAAGGTGATCTGGAGGAACAAAACACACCATATCCCACTTACCTCCATCTGAGGCGGCGATGAAAGAGAGGGGGAGAGAGAAAGAGAGAGAGAGAGAGCACATGGGACATTAAAGAGGTGAAGTGGATAGCCCCGCTGGGTCTCAGGCTATACGCTGAAATCTAATTCTCATCCAAACACAATCTATTACTCCTGTCAGATGCAGCAATGCAGCTTCTAGAGGAAACACTCCGGTAGTTTGTGTCATAACCATCCTGCACAGCTTAATTTGGAACAATTTGTGCGGCAATCACTCTATGGCACGATTTCAATATTTTTAAAGGGATTTTCATGACCTATCTTTATTGCGGACGCAGACAGGTTCGGTGGCTTGACTCAATAACACTATAATATTATTCATTCAAGAGGATTAGGACTCCTTTGACTAATCTCTTAACATCTCCACAATCCTGTCACGGTTTTTTACATTTTAGCAAATTGAGTTTGCTCCTGATGGGAATCCCCATGCTTCAAACTGACTATATTCTGCAATTTCAGCTTTCACAGTTTTACGCTGAAGTGCCTGTAAATGTCTCACAGTCATTTTGAAATTAAAATCGGCTGCCAACAATTTTTGGAAAGCACACAAGCTTCTGTAAAATGAAAGTTCCTAATAAAATAACATTATACGGTTTCATAAGGTACCATAAACGCTTGGGATACTAACTATACACAACTTTCATGTGTGTTAAATGGTCCATATAATCCTGACATCAGTCAGAAAGGGTTCACCGGTAACTAAAGGTTGTCCAGCCATACTTTTGTTTCCGTGCGTTGTGTAAGTGTGTGTGACAGTGTGTATCAGCAGTGTGTGTGGCCTCACCCTTCATGGCCTCAGCTGTCTGGACGAGCTCTGTCACACACGCTGCCACATGCTTTGAGTGTATGGCCAGCTGCTGCTTCTGCTCGGGCATGGGCTTGTGCAGCACCTGAGAATACAACAGCCCAGCACATGCACACACACACACACACACACACACACACACACACATAAGACGCATTAGTAAGTGTAACATATAAGATGAATGAGTTTTAAAAGCAGGTTATTTCACAGCTTCACGTATAAGGACGCAGCATCTTCTCCCAAAGACTTACATGGCTGCCAAAAAAAGCAGCCTACCTAGACCACAACTTGGCAAAACTAATAACTTGCTTAGGAAAACTAATAATAACTGACTTGTAAGTCAGTTAGTGTTGCCAGATTTTTCATATGTGGTTCTTTTGTTGCTTGTGCAAGTAGTTGACTGGCAAAGTAGCGACAGCACACCCTTTAGACTAGACCACAAATTATAACACAAGGTACTTTTACTGGCTTAATGTCCTGTCAGGATCAACACGATGTACCTCTGACTAATTATGCAAGTGAGATAATTAATTAAGTGATATAAAACATAATTAGCAATTGTTACATGTCAACACACTTGTCTTCACATAACACATGGGGAGTGTTATTATGAACTAAGGATTTTAATGAAAAAGTACGTTTTGCTGTTTAATATGCAGATTTATGCAACAAGGTGCTCAGAAATGAAATCTGATCTTTTGTAGGGGAAAACTGTGGTGTATGATATAAAATGATAAATCTTCAAGATTAATGTGGTTACAGACAGATACAGCAAATTGTGGGCATAAGGCAAATTTCAAGTCTTCAGTTTTGTCACTCACTGATTAAGCCTCGTAATCTCAGGCCTCCTTTCAAGGATAAGACTGGCATTTTTCTATATTTGTATTATTGACAACAAGCCTCAAGAAAAGACCAAAACTAGTAATGCGTGCGATGTCACTCCTCTGACTCAGGGACTATTTGTTCTTACAAACACATAAGTCTTTTAAAACAGGTTCATAAAATATGGTTACTTATTTTATAAAAGGCTGAGTAATTTCCTAACACAACTGTAGTTTTTAGCAAACATTGCTCAAACAAGAATAAATAGAGCATTTGTTAGGGACTGTTTTTAGGTGTGGATTAATACACATTTGCACTTGAGGGTATTTACAACAAGTGGATCGTCTACAGTATGTGGGACAGGTCCAAAATAAACTACAGTGCTTATGTTCTTCATAAAGAAGAAGAAGCCCCAAGTTCAACAGCGTGGTTCCTTTATGTGTTTTTAGTAGTTTCTGGACAATAATAGAGGTCTGTGGCACAGAGGAATAAGCTACACCAGGGTTTGGATACACATATAATACCTGTTAGTCGAAAACATTTATTGTTGTTGTATTTTTATTGAAAACGTGAAAAAAATAGAATATCACCAGCCTTATTCTGTTGGGTGATGCTACAGTAAACATGCCAGGAATGTTTTTTCAAGCATCAGAGGATTTAATCCTGCAGATAAGACCTCTAAAGCCTCATTTGGTAATAGTAAATATCAGCATCCACTCTTAGACACACACACACACACACACACACACACAGACACACTAATGCAAGTCACTTCCATGCTTTATTCATGAGACATGTGACTGTCTCATTCTAACCTGCAGCACTTGCTCCAGAAGGTTGATGTATCCGGTGGTGCACTCAGAGCTGTACTGCAGGGCCTTGCTTCTCAGTTCCTCGTTCACTTCTGGGTGGAAAGCTGCTTGCTGGAAAAGGACACAGAAATTGTTCCCACTGGAATCTTAAAATTTAAAGGTCCAGTGTGTAACATTCAGGAGAATCTACTGGCAGAAATGGAATATAATATTCATAGGTACGTTTTCATCACTGTATAATCACCTGAAAAAAGAAAATCTTAGATTAAGCTGTTTTTATCTACAGACAGAGCGGGTTCTCTTCTACAGAGGCCGCCATTTTGAACCATCATGATTCAGACTCAAATCAAATTCATAGATAATAAAAACTCTAATTCTTCACTTTGTAATGCCTTGATTGCAAAATTCTGTATTCCTTCTGTTTTGTCTTGATACAAGTGCTCTACAGTCACTGAAGGACATCCTGACTGATGCTCCGCTGCACGACTTTGAAAAGTGACTGAGTCACTACCAGCGGGAGCAGCCATAGAGTAGACTAGACTCTAATGTCCTATCTGCTCTCAGCATGCTGGGCTCACATGTTCTCTGGCAGCCTGGTGATGTCTGTGTGAGGCCTGTTCTGGCAGGGCGGTGTGGATTAGCACCTTGCAGGTAGTCAGCATATCGGAGATGGCTTTGCGGCTTAGGTTGGCAGTGGCGATCACATCCTCCTGCTGAGCAGAGTTGCCTGCAGCCACTGCCTTGGCTGTTGCTATGGTGATGCCCTTTGTCATGCGGATGAACTCCTCGGGTGTGGTGGACTTGTCTGGGACGTCCTTGGAATGGAACACCTGACATGACGAAGACACACAGATACAGGTAGTTGGATGTAGGCACAACAGGGGCTCAAATGTGTTAATATAGATGGGAACAAGTGTAGCATGTGGTGTAGTAACAATGTAAAGAAGTGAGGAGGACAGAGCATTGTCATATTTGTCGCAGTAGAATCAGGAGTGAGGTTGACTGTTTTGAGTTTCGCTTTGCCAGCAGCTCTTGGAAAAGCTTCCTCTCGGGGGTGGGGGGGTGGTCAGGATTAGCAGTAAATTATAAAAATACAAGCTCTTGAAATCTTGTTCCTTTCTTTCCATTCTGCCTGTGCCTGCTACCTAGACCCTGATAAGAGCTGTGAGAAACCTGCATGAGCTGAGAAGGAATGGAGGAAGGAAAGAAGCTGGGCAGATAATGAAGGAAAAAAGAACAAAAAGGCCAAATGTTTGGTTCAGAATAATAGACAGATATCCCTGACCCTCTTTGAGCCAGCTTTGCAGAGAGGCTGTGTCTCATCAGTTGACTCCCGAAAGACCATAAAGAAGAGGTTTGGGCCTGTGAGGCAGTCTTACTGTCAGCTCTTGCTTGATGCACTCAATGGTGGCCTCCAGTGCCCTTGTCCCGCGAGTCGCTTCATCTTCCACTGCCTTCACTGTTTTTAGAAGAGACGTCACGTTGGTCACCATGACCTGTCAAATAAAGGGAGTAATGATGAGGCTCACAGTCAAACCAGGAGGTGGAGCTCTTTCTCCTCAGCTGCAAAAAACTACATTACAAAATTATTTTTGCCTCCTCCTTCACTGAATAATACATTTACATTTCTGTAAGGTGCTTATCTAATGAAAATTGAAGGGATCAACTGCCAAAGAAGGATAAGGATAAGAGATGTATTTCAAATTAAAAGAGGGTGATTTATACTGGTAATACAGTTTACTCACTAACACCTAACAATTTACGTTTTATTCATGGTGACACATTCTGTCCTGTCTGTGCTGCGTTCAGCAAAGTGTACATTATTAGCTTAGGTATTTGAGCAACATGATCGCCAAGAGTTTGAGAGGGTCCCCTTTTGGAGGTCACCATATGTTGGAAGAACCGAAACAATCTGTCAACATAATCAGGTCCATGGGTGGCCCTAATTCCATTTAGATGAGAAAACATAAGAAACTCCATGCACACGTTAGAGTTTCATGCTGGGTTTGGGATGATAGTTTGCAGAAGACGAGCAAAGTCTTTGGTTCAGAGATGTCTGAGACTCACAAATACTTCTTCTCTCAACTCTTTGTTTCTCTGTTGCAATGACTGCTGATTCACCAAGTTAGATACAAAAGGTCTGATCTTTAGTTTTTATTTTTCAGCAGCTGACAGCTGTGATAGTGGTCATAATTATCAAGAGTGAAATGACAACTCTCGCCTTTTGTGTATGTACAGTGCAGATTCTCCCAGCCCTTGGCAGCACCTGGAAGTTTCTTAACATCTTTTCTCTGTTCCAGTCTTCATAAGAAAAAACTTTGCCCGAAACCTTTTACACTTATTTACTTTATATTATACTGCATTTGCTTCATATAACTATATAACACTTTTTTGTGTTACTTTATTTTTTATTTATTTCATATTGTAACTTTATTTCTCCATATTGTAATTCTTCTACTGTTATGTCGGTGTACTCTGTATATTTGGCACCCATTGCATATCTGTATGTTCTCAAAGTAGATTCTCTCATATGTTGCTTTTTTTCCGGAGGTTTTTCCCATTCATTTCACCTTTAAAGTTTTCTATATGGAGTTTTCCCTACCTGAACCAAGGGTCTAATAATAGAGGGTGTCTTGTACAGATTATAAAGCACTCCAAGACAAATTTGTGTTTTTGAGATATACGAATAAAACTCACTTGACATGAGAAATAGATTTGTCAGGCTAAGTAGCCTTGACAGTCAAGCTGATTCAAAAACTTGCAATATTATTGTCCCAATGGTCACAATACACAAAGTCCTGTGGATACAGATACTTCTCAGGAATACACACCAACCCTCGCTCTCTCTCACAAATACATAAATGCATCTTAGTGATGGGTCTAGTCCCACATACAGATAAGACAGAAAAAGTGAATACCTCACAAATCCTGACATATGTCATATCTTTCTTTTGAAAAAGCTTTACTTTGTGCGAGCAGATACATCAAACTAAAGATAGCAGTAACACAAAGAGCGCATTTGTAGAATACATGTCTACATGCATTCCTCTCAGTGAGAAAGCATAAGCTGAATAATAAATTGGAGACTTGAGTTGCTGAAATTAATACACAGCTTAACTAGATATGACATTAATTTGTTTGAGCGGTCTATTCCTTTACCTTGGCGGCGCTCTTAAGCTGATACATGGACGGGTCGTCAGCAGGCTTGCCGGCAGCACATTTGGTGGCACCGATGAGTTCAGCCAGAGCCTTGGCCACATCCCGCACTGCGTTTATCAGAACCACCTGAGGAGATAGAGCTGGTATCAATACGGCACAATGGTCAGGGTATAGGTTTATCAGTAGCACCCTGGGGAAAGGATTTAACACTGCAGCCCTTATCGCTTCCACCTAGTCATGATACTTCAGACGTAGTGGAGGGCAGAGATAGAGGCATCATACACACAGGGGAAAGAGAAGACACAATATGTATCAGATGAAACTGCAATTATGCAGAGAATCTAACACTGCATGTACAAAAAGATAAAAGACATTCATTGTAGATGACTAATATCATAGAATAGTATAATGAAAATGGGTTACAATATCTGGATAAAGAGCTCAGCTGAATTAAAAAGTAATAACTGAGCTTTGTTAAAAAATAAAGGCATACATCTGTGACTGCATAAGGCTGAAACATCTGTGACTGTATTAGATTTTTTTAGTGTAAAGTGTGTTTTGGATTTTCATCACCTGTGTCTCTGGGTCCTCAGAGCCCATGCTGGTCGCTCCCAGTTTGACCACCTCAGTGAGCTGGGTGATGGTCTTGGCTGAAGACTGGGCAGCCTGGGCCAGTTTCTCCTGGCTGGACGCAGCTCCAGCAACCAGCAGCTTGGTGTCCTCCACCAGCGCCTTGGCTGTCTTCAAGATGCTCTCCCTGAGGGATGGGACACATTGTGTCACAATCTGCTCCACAGTCACACTCAAGTACCAGCAATATGAAAGGAAGCTGTTGCTTTTCTAGCAGAATGTGTGTTTAGTAAGGACAATTTTCAATTGTGTTCATTATGTGTGCATCCGATTATTCAGCTTTATTGGCAAACTGCGTTTCTCCTGAGTGAGTCATCAAAAGAAAAATGGAGCTCTGGTTGTGCAGTGTAAAACCCTAGCAACTGAAATCTAAATCACATTACTCTTGTGCTCACAATCCCATTTTTAACATGATCAAAATGTCTCTCTTTTTTGTCATTACAGATTTTCATTTCACATCCTGTGTTGGTCTTGTTGGTCTTGTTTTGTTTCATGGCAAGGTCACTGCACCTGTGGTCAGCAAAAGACTCTTCATTCTCAGGGTTCAGTGTTCCAGCTGAGGCGAACATGATGGTGGTGTCCAGGTCAGCAATGATGCCAGAAACAGCGCTGGCTGCTGTGATACAAGCCTGGGTTCCTTTGTTACCCGCCTGCAGTGCTGACAGTACCAAGGACACCTGAAACATAAAGCATGCAGAGAGTTCCCTCAAACATGCTGTTTTTAGAGGTGTAAAAACAGCTAAAATAAGCCCAGTTTCTTTATGCATTGCACATGTTTAATAATTAAACAGCAGCTTCTCCTCTTCATATGATGTTGGTGGGTCCTTTATAAACCAGGTGAGTGAGATTGCAAATGTTGTGTATTGAAAGTTATGGATGAGCTGAATTAAAGGAAAAATCTGGGAGTAAGAAAAGAGAGCAGGTTTAAACATGAATTAAAATCAGAGTCTGCTGCACAATCGCATTAAGTCAGTGAGCCTGACTCGCAAGTCACACATCTCCCTTGAAGACAGCTCTCTGCCCATCCCTCATAAACAAATGGAGGCCCCTAAGAGTTAAATTTCAACAAGGCACTAGCTTCATGTATCAGCAGGTGTGACACCCCAAATTATTCAAGTTTGATATGAGCCCTGAATCAAATCATAGCCTCTGAGTGGAGAAAAATTCTAATGTGTGAGCAGCATGGCTGGATGCTGCCAGGGTCACAGCAGGGAGACATTAGTATTATTACGAAGTGCACAGTGTTAGGGTCAGGAGAGCATGCTCTCATGACTTGCATGGCTGGTACAATAATAATAATAACAATACCTAAAATAACACACTGTACATTAAACCTATATACTTCTAAATATTTCATGTTGAGACTAAAGCTAAGCCTTAAAATACTAAATAATTGTAATACAAAGCAGTCCTGTCAGCCACAGTACAATAAACAATAAATAAACATCTGAACTGCTTTTTCTTAGATCTTGCAGTTACACACACTATCAGTTTACTCAAAAAAAAAATTATATATATATATATGGTGTATACTGTAGTGAGCAATGCATGAAATATATGTTTTCATAAAAATGCTAATTCTGATATATATGTATATATAATAAATATGTAAATATATAAAAATGTATATGCTGTGCCAGTTTGTGTCCACATAACCTACCTTCTCTGTGACTGCGCGAGCACACTCGATGAGCTCCCTTTTGGAAAAGCTGTCAGTGGGGCTGAGCTGTAGGGCTCCAGCTTTCTGGACCAGATAGATACAGCCGTGGCCCAGCTCTTGCACCCGTGTCTTTATCTGGAAGCCAACCTGAAAGTATAACCAG